CAAAGAATCCCGAAAAAAATATATATATATATATATATATATATATATGTAATGAATATACTATATTTTTGTTTGAAAAAAAAAGTGATTGACAAATTCAAATTTAAGTAGCTTTATTGGCATGGTATAAGGCTTCCAAAGCATAACTGGTGCTCTGATCCAATGGTGTTGAGCATTGTCAAATATACAGGCAACCACAGGCAGCCAATCAAGCAGTGAATGACAGTTATGTAAGAAGATATGGAACGGCTGATAATCACAGATAAATCACAGAGAAAATATGTTGACTGACATCATTGGCGATTTCAGGATTTTTTAAATGGGGTGGCACGGGGGACCAAGAGTAAGTCATATATATACCAAGTTCTGTCATGAAACTCTAGATGGCGCAGGCTGATGGGTCTTTCACGTAACTGATGATGTTCTTACCATTAAACGACTTGTCAAAATTTTTTGTCATGGAATCCCTGATGGCCCGGCTGCAATTGGAGTGCTTAGCCATGCGCTAAATACCCTCAACGTGTTTTTGCATGCAGCTTTGCACAATGTAACCAATCACAGACATATCTGTTGATTTCTTAAACATGACAGAATTGTCATTTTGGGGTGAACTATCCCTGTAACCCAGTTTATTGTTTACTGACTACTATAGTAGTAGTCATGCCAGTCATGGGTTTATCTCTTACAGTATAATATATATTACTATAGTAATACATATACTGTATATATATATATATATATATGTAATGAATATACTATATTTTTGTTTGAAAAAAAAAGTGATTGACAAATTCAAATTTAAGTAGCTTTATTGGCATGGTATAAGGCTTCCAAAGCATAACTGGTGCTCTGATCCAATGGTGTTGAGCATTGTCAAATATACAGGCAACCACAGGCAGCCAATCAAGCAGTGAATGACAGTTATGTAAGAAGATATGGAACGGCTGATAATCACAGATAAATCACAGAGAAAATATGTTGACTGACATCATTGGCGATTTCAGGATTTTTTAAATGGGGTGGCACGGGGGACCAAGAGTAAGTCATATATATACCAAGTTCTGTCATGACACTCTAGATGGCGCAGGCTGATGGGTCTTTCACGTAACTGATGATGTTCTTACCATTAAACGACTTGTCAAAATTTTTTGTCATGGAATCCCTGATGGCCCGGCTGCAATTGGAGTGCTTAGCCATGCGCTAAATACCCTCAACGTGTTTTTGCATGCAGCTTTGCACAATGTAACCAATCACAGACATATCTGTTGATTTCTTAAACACAATGGCCAATCAGAAACGTTTTGTCAGAATTCACTCACCGCTGAAAGCAACAGACGACAAAAAGTGGCTCTAGGAATAAAATCGGTTCTAGGACAAAAAGTTATTTGTACAATTCCAGAAGACAAAAGACGGGTTAAAGGAGTAATATCAGGAGTATCTCCTGATGTTCAAGTTGAAACGATTAAGAAAAATTTAACTGGAGCGACAGTGTTCGACGTGAAACGATTGAAGTGTACTAGAAACAATGAAAAAATTGACAGTCTTTCAGTCATGATTCACTTTGATGAAAATAAGCTACCTAGCAGAGTCTTCTTAGGATTTGTAAGTTATAT